AAATAAAGAAACATTGTCTTGTATTACCACATGGCCTGCTGAAAGCTGCCACAGATAGCCAAAATGAATAGAAAAAACAACCGTCAGCAATTGATGTGCTGTTGAGGGCGCTAGAATTAGAAAATTTGATCTTTGATTGCACAGTCCTCCTATAGAACAGTTTAGAAATTGTCTATTGTGTTGATTACTTTAGTTTTGTGTACAATGTGTGACTGTTATACCATAATCATGTATGGCAAATCAAATTTACCCCTTTTTCTGATTTATTACTGTAGAATACTTTATTATCGCTTGGAATTTTTTTTCACTATTTTCGCTGAAAGGATGATTCCGTGAAAATAAAATTCAGCAAATATACTTTTTTCCATATATTTCACATTCAATTTGTCAAAGATCAGTGAAAATAAATTCCATACAAAACAACCAAAAAGTCTTTCAGCGAAAATTAATTCCAGCTAAAATAAAGTATTTCACAGTATTATCAATGACCAAATTGTTTTATAGTAGAAAACTTTTAAGATGTCCATTATATACACATGTAATCAGCGCTTAAATATCCGGAAATCAAATTTGTGGCTGATTCTACTCATGCCCGTTATTTGTGTTACTCCAGAAACAAGCAAGACGCGTCTATGAAATTCTACGCTACGTGTCACAGATGAAAGTAATGCCAATCAATTTAAAGAGTACCGATTGGACATAAAGAAAAGACTCAATATTCCATACCAGGTAAGTGGAACGGATGATTGTCATTTGGTATGGGTCCCATACTATGCATAGCAACATGTACACGTGTGAGTCACATGACCACACTTGACTTAGACGATCATGTCCTTTTAACCACCAGTTTTCCTCTTTTCATCACAAATTCATAGTCCCACACTATCAGTCTGCACTATTCTTTCAGAAGATTAGGACAAAAATGGTCAAATTTTTTGAGTAAAAACTAAAATTATTTCAAATTTTGTTTGTTGGCTCCAAAATTTTGGCTCATTTCCAGAAATATTGAAGAATATCTGAAAAAGTACGCAAAAATGTGGGTTAGAAAATCTGGTGGTGAAAAGGTTAAACATGTGACATACAATCCCTAGGATGGAATCATGGGACTTTAGTGTATAATTCATCATACGCATTCACTACATGTTCACAGCGATCGATATCCACGCTGTATCATATAAAAACGATTACCAAGATTCGTTACGCAAGACCAAGTTTTAAATTAGTTGCATTTTGAAGGGGGGGCGCTTTGCCGAATGTGACCCCAAATATAAAAATTGCGCAGAATGCGTAAACTACGCTTCGACAATGACCGTTTATACAAGTAAAATGCGATAAATATTTCATGCCATATTCAGTTTACCTCTCAAAAATGGCTAGTTACTAGTTTTTTGGAAAAACCATGTCGTTTATTCGCTGAAATCAATTCCAACAGATCGTACTTCGACATCGATTATTCACTTCCGCATTGTGTTACTGGAAAGTCTTCGGGAATTTCCGAAGAATTGCGTCAGTACAACACAACATTCTGATTAGTTAATAACCAACTTGACCCATTAGGTCAAAGGACGCTGCTGTAGGTCAAATCTGCAATTGCATCATGGCGGAAGGTGATTTTCATCAAGAG